AAGAAAAAAAAAAGAGAAAAGAACAATTCTCTCTTTCTTTTCCCTTTCTTTTCATTCTTTCTGTATCAAAAAAAATTTGATCATTTCTGTTTTTTAGGAATAATCCTCTCTTTCTCTTCCCTTTCTTTTCATTCTTTCTGTATCAAAAAAAATTTGATCATTTCTGTTTTTTAGGAATAATCCTCTCTTTCTCTTCCCTTTCTTTTCATTCTTTCTGTATCAAAAAAAATTTGATCATTTCTGTTTTTTAGGAATAATCCTCTCTTTCTCTTCCCTTTCTTTTCATTCTTTCTGTATCAAAAAAAATTTGATCATTTCTGTTTTTTAGGAATAATCCTCTCTTTCTTTTCCCTTTCTTTTCATTCTTTCTGTATCAAAAAAAATTTGATCATTTCTGTTTTTTAGGAATAATCCTCTCTTTCTCTTCCCTTTCTTTTCATTCTTTCGTAACAAAGAATGATTATTTCTGTTTTTTAGGAGGAACAATCCTCTCTTTCTCTTCCCTTTCTTTTCATTCTTTTTCTATCAAAAAAAGTTGATCATTTCTATTTTCTTTTTTTCTTTTCTCTTTCTTTTGCAATTTAATTTACAAAAATTATTAAATAAATTATAATTTTTAGTTTTTATATTCACATATATATATATATATATAAATAAGACTGAAATGAAAAATTTGCGGAAGAAAATTTTTATCTTTCCTTATTTCTTTTCTTTTCTTTTCTTCTTTATTATTTCCATTCCTTTTCCGATTTTCTCTCTTATTTTATTACTAAATTTAATGAGAAGAGAAAAATTGCAAAAATTGTATTGAATTTTTTAAATAAAAGGAAATGTAATATTTTGAGATGAAATTAATTTTACAAATGGAAAAAGACTGTAATAAAAATTTGAAATCGATAATAGCATATGATATGTTTTTCATTAATCATTTCATCTTAATTTTTTATTTTTTGTAATTTCTTTAATAGGTAATGATAAGGTAATATTTATATTCTTCAATAGTAAATAATAAGTTAATATTCATATTAGTAAATAATAAGGTAATATTCATATTCTTTAATAGTAAATAATTAGGTAAAATATTTTATGCTACCTAATTTTATGCTACCTATTTTATGCTACTCTTTTTGAAAATTGAAAATTGAAATTTGAAATAATTTGAAGTTAGCGTTTTAATTTATTACAACTTATCATTCATAATGCTTATAATGTATCCATTATTTGCTGTATGATATCTTTCACACCAACCATTTCATTTAATTTTTATTTTTTGTAATTTCTTTAGTAGTAAATAATAAGGTAATATGTAAATTTTATGTTACCTTTTTTCGTTTTGAAAATTGAAATTTGAAATAATTTGAAGTTAGCATTTTAATTTATTACAATTTATCATTCATATTCTTTAATAGTAATTAATAAGGTAATATGCAAATTTTATGCTATCTTTTTCTTCTCTTTGAAAATTGGAACTTAATTTATTTCAATTTATTATTTAGTTTATTTTAATTTATTATTTGATTTAATCTATTATTTAAGCATTTTAATTTATTACAACTTATTATTCGTATTGTTTAATAGTAAATGACAAAGTAATAAGCAAATTTTATACCACCTTTTTTTTCGTTTTGAAAATTGAAATTTTAGCATTTTAATTTATTACAACTTATCCATTCATAATATTTATAATATTTGCATTATTTGTTGAAATATATAAGCGAAGTAAAATTGTATTAAATTAACTTCCAAATATATTCAAAAAATTTTTCTTCCAATTTTTCGTTTTTCCGTGCAAATTATTTCCCTCAAATATTTATTTCATTTCATCAAATTTTTCAACATTTTTTCGAATTAAATAAGTTTAACTATTTGGTGACACTTTGAAAAATATTTAGCAAAATAAAAAGATTCCAACGAATTCGAATAAGTTAAAGGTAATAAAAGAATAGTGCTGCAAAATTCATTTTCACTCATTCTAATAATTTGTTTCCTTTAAACTTATGTGTAATTGTAATTTTATAATTAGTATAGTAAGTGAAATAAAATTTTTAATTACATCACAACTTTTGTTTTTATTAATTCTTACCTTTTTTTTGCTAATAAAATTATACTTCAAAAGTATTATTTATACATAAAAAAACAATGAAATTAATTTGTATTATAAAATTATAGGAAATTTTTTTTTTAATTATGTGAAATTAAAATTACATAAATTTTTTTTAATTTTTAATTTCTTTTTAATTTTGGTATATCTTTACGGAATTTTTGCAGAGAAATAGGAAAAAGAATAATTAAGAAAAAATGAAATTTACTTTTAATTAAATATGCTAAAATTAGAAACAAATGAAAATTCATAAAATTTTATATATTTCATTTCACATTTAATAATTTCATATATAATATTTATTTCTTTTTTAGCTGCAAAATTGAAATAATTCTAACAGCCTTATTTCCATCAGCAAAAAGGTTGAAATGTCTTTTTAAAATTCATTTAAATTTGGGTGTTATTTATGATTTTGAAAATTTCAAATTTAACATTCATTTCTTAGATTATTAACGTTTTATTATAACGATGAAGAATCCTATTGTTTTTATCAGAATGTTTATTTTCGATTGATATGTTCCAAAAGTTATCATAAGAATTCTATTTAAACAAATGATTGTTTATTTTTAAAATTTCATTTATCAAATAATGCTTTAAAATTTTTCTTAGATTTATGCTGTTGCATTTATTAAATTTAATTGACAGTTTTAAACGCATTGGTAGTAATTTGTAACTTGGCAGTAATAATATTAAGTAATACATATTAGTATTAGTAATACATATTAATATTAATAATATTAGTAATGCATATTAAAACAGTATTGGTAGTAATTTGTAATTTGGCAGTAATACATATTAATAATATTAAGCAATACATATTAATATTAGTAATTCATATTAATAACTTGGTAGTAATAGTAATACATATTAAAACGCACTGGTAGTAATTTGTAATTTGGCAGTAATACATATTAATAATATTAAGCAATACATATTAATATTAGTAATTCATATTAATAACTTGGTAGTAATAGTAATACATATTAAAACGTATTGATAGTGATTTGTAATTTGATAATAATACATATTAATAATTTGGTAGTAATAGTAATACATATTAAAACGCACTGGTAGTAATTTGTAATTTGGCAGTAATACATATTAATAATATTAAGTAATACTCATTAATATTAGTAATATTAGTGATACATATTAATAAATTGGTAGTAATACAAATGAAAATATCGAAATGATAGTTTAATAAATCATATGATGGACTTATTTACCGATCAATCATTTATCATACATATTGCTTTCAGAGCAAAAAAACTTTTTTCTGCAATATTACTCAACTGAATATAAATGGCAAAGTAATTTTTCAACTTTTAAATTTTCTGCTATTTTTAGTTTTAGCGAAATTAGCTTTTATTTTTATTTAATGCACTATTCGTTAATTTTTATCGCGTATTTATTTAATCGTATACGATTAAAATTTGTCGCATATATTTGCGACAAATTTTCGCAAATATATACGATTATTAGATTTGTTGCTTTTTCCTTTTTCTCTTTGTTTGCTTATTTTATCATTTTTCTATGATCGATTTTATAATTTATCTTTTTCTTTTGCAAACTTTTGCTTGCTTGAAAATTTGCATTATTTTGTTTGCATTATATTGCAATGTGGAAATAATCAAATAATGACAATAATCATGAAGTTATGATAGTAATCATTTTATCAGATATCATATTGATGATAATAGGCAAATTTTATATCAGTCGATACTTAACATTAGCAACATTAATCATACTGAAAAAATAAACATTAAAAACTAACTGTAAGTAATTAAAATGGGAATTTAAATTATGATAATAACCATTTTATCAGATATCATATTGATGATAATAGGCAAATTTTATATCAATCGATGCTTAGCATTAACAACATTAATCATACTAATTAAAAAAACTAACTCCAAATAATTAAAATGTGAATTTAAAAAAGGTAAATAAAAACTTTGACAATAATGATAACAGTAAATGCTAGTGAAGTTCTAGGAAAAAAATAAAAAGAAAATTTAAATAATCATTTTATCAAATAACTATTTGAATTGGTGATAATAGGCAAATTTTATATCAATCGATACTTAGCATAAAATTTTCTTTTAATATTTAAGAAAACGAAATTTTTTCAAAAATATCAACCTTTTATTTAAATGTTAATTTTTTATTTGATAATTTTAACTATCGAATTGTTGACAGAAAATTTTTTTGGATATAAGCAAACTTATCAGTTCAACTAATTAGCTAACTAATTAATTATGCATTTTTGTTTGATAAAATATATTTCTATAAATATAAAGAATAGGAAAAAGCGATTTTAAAAAAAAGCGGAAATAATACATTTGTGTGGGAAATATATAAAATGAGCTTATCATCTCTCAAACTATCAATGATAATGATTAATTCTCTTTTGTTTTTCTTTTGAATGATAGATTTGTGTGGAAAATATATGAAAATGAGCTTATCATTCTCTTAAATTATCAATAATTCATAATGATAATGATTAATTCTCTTTTGTTTTTCTTCTGCGCCTTTCTTGACAGCCCATTTTAACGAACTGATTTATGTAAATCAAAAAGTGTTTGAATATTTTAAGCAAAACAATTCACATTTTTCAACAATGTCGAATATCAATGTATTTCATTGCAGCGCTTTTTCTTCGTCCTTTTTCATCGTTCTTCTAAAATTAATAAAATTTTATTGAATGCCTAATTAACCAATAAAGTAATTAATAATATTACTGCTATAAAAGTTAATTACAATCTCAAAAAGGCATATTCATTTAAAATATTATGTTAATTTTTAATAAAATTCCATTAAAATAATTGAAGAAAAAGAAACTTTTCTTTGATGAGAATTTCTTATTTTAGGTTATATTGCTAATGAATTATGCAAAAATATGTCGAAATCTAATTTACATATTATTAATGGAAGTCCAAAATCGGAAATCATAAGATTACGGGAGCATTTGGATACGGAGGCGGAGACAGATGATGCTGATACATACAGTCCATCAATTTCATCATTTGATGAAAATTTTAATTGCCGTGAAATGTTCATTATTACGATTGATGATGATCCACATATTATCACCACGAATTCATCATTGTCAAATTCGGATGTTATCAATTCTGATAGAAATCAATTTGCTGAAAATATTCCGGCACGTAGTATTTCATGTGTTGTCGATAATGATTTACGTCAAACAATTAAAACTGTATGTTTCGCTCTTTTTTCTTTTCGTTTCCATTCTTTAATTCTCTAATTCTTTAATTCCATTACTTCTTTAGGATGGAAAAAAGTATTATTATTTCAGATAATTTATTGAAATATAATTTTTAATATATAACTTAAATTCAAGAACTTAAAAACTCAAATATATTAAAAAAATAATATTTTCATATATTTCGTGAAATTACACATATATATAAGAGAAATAAATTGGAATTTAATATATTTAATCAAATAAATGAAATAATCGAATAAAATATTACGAATGATGGAAAATGTTATTACTCAAATTCATGTATATATATTATATATATATGATTTCATATATGTAATCATTATTTTGATTATTAATTGATAACTGATTAATATCTATCAAATTAGAAATGTTAAAATTTATATACATATATATATATCAGAAAAATAAATTGGAACTTAATATGTTTAATTTAATAAATGAAATAATCGAATCAAATTGGAGATATTTGAACCAATACATACACATATATATCGGAAAAATAAATTGGAATTTAATATATTTAATCAAATAAATGAAATAATCGAATAAAATATTACGAATGAAGGAAAATGTTATTACTCAAATTTATGTATATATATTATATATATATATGATTTTATATCTATAATTACTATTTTGATTATTAACTGATAACTGATTAATATCTATCAAATTAGAAATATATGAATTCTGAAATATTTTTTTATTTTGTTTGTTTTTGCAATTAATTTAAACAATACGAATTAGACGAATTGTTTTGAAGAGCTGTAAAAAAGTTGAAATATATACATATATATGAATTTGAATAATAAATAACATTTCCACTATCTTCATTTTTAATATCCCATTCGATTAATTCATTATGATTAATCATATTTAATTTCAAATTATTTTCCTGACAGCTTTTTCATATTTTAATTTTTACCACTCTTTCAATATAATTCATTTAATTCCTATTGCTTAAATTGATTGCTTAATGGACAGAATAGAAAAAAAAACATTTCTAAATTTATTTACATTTTTTAACTTGATAAATATTAATTAGTTAGCAATTTTATAAACAAAGTAATAATTATTACAGGTGTGAAAATTATTGAATGTTAACAATCACTGAATATTACCTATACATAGAAAAATTAATTTTAAATATTATGTTATTAAAATTAATTAAACGTTAAATTCTATTCATTGTTAAATTTGATAGAAATAAAAAAAGCTTTAAAATAATAATTACAGGTATGAAAATTATTGAATGTTAGCAATCACTGAAGTCTATATATATATATTTAAAGTCAATTTTGCATAGATTTATTCCATCATATGTAGAATTTCAGCAGGAAAACCTCTATTAAATAATATCAAATATTTAAGAGTGTAAAATTTTAGCTTTTACATTTCATGCATATACTTATGGTATAAAAGTACAATTTACATATAGTTATGGTCTAAAAGTACAATTTATGCATATAGTTATGGCATAAAGGTACAATTTATACATATAGTTATGGCATAAAGGTACAATTTATACATATAGTTATGGCATAAAGGTACAATTTATACATATAGTTATGGTATAAAAGTACAATTTATACATATAGTTATGGTCTAAAAGTATAATTTATACATATAGTTATGGTATAAAAGTACAATTTATACATATAGTTATGGTCTAAAAGTATAATTTATACATATAGTTATGGTATAAAAGTACAATTTATACATATAGTTACGGTATAAAGGTACAATTTATACATATAGTTATGGCATAAAGGTACAATTTAAAATTTTTATATATTTTTCCCTTTTACATTTTAATTTGTTTATTTATTTATTTGTTTTTCTTTTTTGTATTCAAAAAATTACTTTTTATATTTTCCCGATAATTAAGCATCTCAATGAATATGAATATTAATACGCCTAATAGATTAATAATAGTAATTCATTCAAATTCTAACATCTTGCAATTAAATGGAAACATTCATCTTTAACTATCAAACTAATCGCTTTCTCTGATAGCTTTTATGATTTATTTTATCGGTCATTTCAAAATATTATATTTCTATTTGTTACTTATTAGTTATCTCAGTCAATCGATTAACGAAAATATTATTACGCTGGCAAGTTCTATCAGAAATTTTACCAATTCAATCATTTCATTTATTTACTATTATCGCATAGATATATTTTTTTTTAATTTATTATTTAATGTAATTAAAATTTTAATTAATTTATTAAATTTGGTGTTGCTTTTTGATTTTTAATTTACTATTCAGTTAATTAAAATTTAATTAATTAAATTTCATATTTATTTGATTCTTAATTTATTATTTGGTATAATTAAAATTTAATTAATTTATTAAATTTCGTATTGTTTTGATTTTTTAATTTATTATTTAATGTATTTAAAATTTAAAATAAAAGGATAAAAAGAAAAGATAAAAAAAACAAACAAATATATAATTTCAATTGTTTTAAATGCTCTAATTAATCAATTAGAATGTAAAATGCTAATACTAATTTTAGTCATTTCAAAAAATTAAAATATTTACTTATTATCTTATCACTTCACTTATCATTAGGCTAAATTAATCCATTAGAAAATTATTAATTTGATTAATATTAATAAAAATTTTTTAATCTAATTTTAACTTAATTCGTTTTTTTCAATTGTTTTAATATTCGATCAAAAATTTTAAAATAATATCAAAACGACAAACAATCTTCCAATTACTTATTTCTTTCAATTTTGTTATTTTAAGTTCAAATTTATTATTTTAAATTTAAGCTAATTATTTTAAATTCAAATTTATTATTTTGAATTATAATTTATTATTTCAATTATTTTAAGTTTATTATTTTAAATTCAAATTTATTATTTCGAATTTAAATATATTATTTCAATTATTTTAAGTTCAAATTTATTATTTCAATTATTTTAAGTTTATTATTTTAAGTTCAAATTTATTATT